ATCCATGTCGGTCTTCTTCTTGAAGATCCATTTGCACCCGACTGTCTTACGGCCCAGTACATTGTCAACCAAGTTCCAAACTTGATTGTCATACATGGACTGTATCTCGCTGTCCATAGCCTCTTTCCATTTAGCAGACTCGGGGCCTGCCATGGCTTCCCTATGGTTGTTAGGTTCATCCAAATTTACCAGTGTACTATTACTGATAAATGTATCACCTTCCGCAGTAATATGGAAACCATAATAATGCTCAGGTGCATTCCTAACTCTAGTGGAACGCCTCAGAGGTACAGGATCGTCAGTTGGTTCAACAAGAGTTTCCTCCTCAGGTTGATTGCTAGGGTTTGAGGTTCCTTCACCACTCGACTCTTGAAGCTCTTCAAGGTTAATTTTCCTCCTACTATTTCCTTGGCTTATAAATTCTCTCTCTCGAAAGACCCCTCTCCTTGCCACAAAGACCACATTCTCACTGGGTCTGTAGAAGAGGTAACCAAAGGATTTATGTGGGTAGCCGATGAAAATACACCGCTCACTACGAGGTTCGAGCTTGTCCTGAGTCTCACGTCTCACGAAAGCCTCGCAACCCCAAATCTTGATGTGGTCTAAATTGGGAACTTTGCCAGTCCACATCTTGTGAGATGTTTTGGCAACCTTGTTGGTAGGGACTAGATTAAGGATATGTGCGACAGTCTCTAAGGCATACCCTCAGAATGAGATTGGTAACGAAGCTTGACTCATCATGGAACGAACCATGTCCAACAATGTTCGATTACGCCTCTCAGCCACACCATTAAGCTGTGGTATTCTGGGATGTGTCAATTGTGAAATAATTCCACATTCCTTAAGATAGTCAAGGAACTCTGTTCTAAGATACTCTCCTCCTCGATCGGATCACAGCATCTTAATGTTCATGCCCAGCTGATTCTCCACTTCCTGTTTAAACTCTTTGGACTTTTCAAAGGTTTCTGACTTATGCTTGATTAAGTAGACATAACCATATCTACTATAATCATCAGTAAACGTCATATAGAGCAGTTAGCATCCCTTGTGGCGGTTCTGAAGGGTCCACACACATGTGTATATGTATGAGGTCCAACAAACCTTCACCCCTAGCACAAGTACCAGTGAAGGGTGACTTTGTCATTTTTCCAAGCAAACAAGACTCGCAACTATCATCTGACTTTAAGTCAAATGACTCCAAGACTCCAACCTTTTGGAGTTGGCCTATGCGCTTCTTGTTGACATGTCCAAGCCGACAATGCCACAAGGATACTTTGTCGAAACTAGTTGAAGAATCGATATGCAACACATTATTTCATAAGTTGTCTACAACCGACACAGTTTCATATACACCATCACAAGGTAATTCTTTAAAATAAAGAACATTATTATAAAAAGCATTAATACCACCACATTCATTATCAAATGAAATATTAAACCTTCTTTGTACAAACCGTGAAAAGAAATAATATTTCTCGCCATTTCAGACGAGTAACAACACTTATTCAAATCTAACATTAACCCACTACTTAGCAACAAAGAATAAACTCCAATCTTGGTGACAGGTGAAGCTTTCCTATTCCCCATGATCAAGTTTATCTTTCCGTGCTCCACAGCCTCACTTCTTATTAGGCCCTGCAAATCAGAACATATATGAATACCAAAACCTGTATCAAGGACCCAAGAATTAGTATGCGGTGAGTTATTAGACAATATAGTGTAAATACCTGCATGGGAGGTTTGACCTTCCCATCCTTAACATCTTGCAGGTACTTGGGGCAGTTTCGTTTCCAGTGCCCCTTATCATGATAATAGAAGCATTCAGCTTCCTTTGGGTTGGAAGAAGGAGTGACAAAACCAAATTTGGTTACACTCGAAGAGGAGCCATCAAGAGACTTTCCCTTGGTACCCTTCGAAGGGGTTTTCCTCTTTTTCCCTCTACTTTGCCCGATTGCCATAACAGGGGCGGAGTTAGGAGTAGGAGTAGTAACAAACGATTTACCTTTGAGACCACTTTCGACGATCTTCAAAAGTCCTTGAAGCTTGCTGAGTGTGACCTCCTCCTTGTTCATGTGATAGGTCATTCAGAACTGATCATAACAAGTAGGTAAGGAGTGCAATACGATATCAATAGCCAACTCCTCGGGGAAGTTCACATTCAACTTCTGCAAACGGTCCACAAACCTTTGCATTTTCTGCATATGGCCCGTGATGGGTTCACCATCCTTCATTCGGGTTGTTATCATAGAAGAGATGATTTCATACCTCTCTTGACAAGCACTCTGATGGTATCTGTCCATCAGGTCCATGTGCATCTCAAAAGGGTAAAAGTCCTCATAGGACTTCTGGAGTTCAGCTGTCATTGTGGCCAACATGATACATTCCACCTTGGTGGCATCTCTCTCATGAGTCCTAAAGTCAGTGATCTCCTGTGGAGTAGCAGTAGACTCATTAATTTCTTTCAGCTCCTTGTCGAGGACATATTCCTTATCCTCATAACGCGTGAGCATCCTGATGTTCCCGATCCAATCATTAAAATTTGAACCATCAAAGATGACTCTCCCACAAAGATTCATCAGAGAGAAGGAGCCGATAGGGTTTGAGCCAGAAGCAGCATTGTTGGAAGACATCTGAAAAGAAGAAAGACAAGTTTAGATTAGATATAGAATCCTTAATAAGACACCCAAATGTAATATCAAGGCTAGGACCCAACACAATACTTCATAACTTGGAAGAGGGATGCCGTAATCTAAGCTATGAAATATTTTAAGGTAGGTGAATGACGATTCACCAATTTCCACCATGAAAAACGAAATAAATTATTAGGTTTTAATTGGATTGGAACTCCTAGATCTTTTGAGATTCATTGAACTTTTCAATGGCATGTTTAAATCTCGATTGTGCCCTCTCAAGTTTGTGACTGGGATGCCAAGGATCACAAACAAGGTGTGAATAACCATGCAAATTAACTTGGTACCCTTAATCTTTATCACCTAATCAACGTATCAGTTACCCACACACGCTCCACTGATCTATGATAAAAATTAAGTCACCCTTTGCCACTCTTACTAGTCCATGTTGGTGTGCCGGTTACCCACACACGCTCCACCAACGACTTGGTAAGGTACAAAGTGTAATTTCATGGGTTAGCACCATTTTCACATTTTCCTAAAGTAACTAAGATTGGGAATTTATAAAACATTTAGTTACTTTATAATCATCATACTTTTAATGAGGATTATAGTCTTTGTCCTACCCGTTCGACTAACGACCCTCTACCAGTCAAGGAAGCGCTGGGTGAGAGTGGACACCCATTAAGCTGCCATTTTATAGGCAACAACCTTATACCCCCTTATAGGCCGGCTTCGTGAATGAGGCCTACTAACGGTAAGACTGACTTGATCTTATACATATATATATCTATATATATATATCTATATATATATATATATATATATTATATATATATTATTAACTTATATTACTATAAAGTATAAGGGTTGAATTTTAACTTTTAAAACTCTAGGGTTTGGAATTAAAGTGTGTGTGAGACTTTACAAATTCCAAAACTTGAGGGCAAGTTTTGAAACTATTCAAAAACTTTTCATTTCTATAACTTATGAGTTTTAATGGTTTTAAAGAAAAGACTTTTGGAATTCCATAACTTGAGGACAAGTTATGGAGTCCATTAATTGCCATTTAGATCAAGAATTACACTAACAAACAATTTACAAATAATTCCTATGATCTTCTAAAACTCATAAGTATGAACATTCATATCAACAATTTCAAGAATCATATAAACATATATATAACTTGAAAATTTGATAATAACCATTGAAAATGGATTAGTGTAATCATTACCACACTAAAAACAGGTTTTATAAGTCCAAAACAGTTTAGGGTAATGATTCTAGTCCATTTCCAGTAGCAAAACTCGAAAATCTGCACACTGGGCCTCCTACTCGTCGAGTGCAAGAACCTACTTGACAAGTAGGATGAGTTTACACTTGGACTCGTCGAGTCCCCCCGTGGACTCGGCGAGTCCACTGAACAGTGAACAGTTTTTCGACTTTTTCAAGCATTTTGCATCAAGTATAATGAAAACAAGCCTAGGCTCTGATACCACTGATGGGTTTTGAGCATTGTAACACTCCTATGGTGTACATGCAACCCTAGAAACCTTGGATCTTTGTTTTCTCTATTATACATGAAAATATTCGTTTTCCAAGGTTCTCAACCTAACTAGCATGTTATGGGGTACTTGTAATATAAAAACTTAGTAGAATAACATACCTTTCTTGTGGTTGATTGCTTGGAGTGTTGAGAGCCTAGCACCAATAATGTGGATGCCTCAAGTGGAATCACAAATCACCAAAGCACCTTGGAAAGCTTGAGAGAATAGAAAGCACTTGTAGAAATTGGCCCACTCTTGTTCACTCACACACTAGTTCCATTTCATGTGCCAAAGACCTCTTTATATAATATGGTGGATTAGGGTTACATCCATGTAAACCCTAATACCCATGACCTTTCATTTCCATAGGATCCATGGGTTAAAAACTCCATGGACTATGCATGCAAGCTTAGCCCATCCTAAATGAACATTGACCCATTCTATATATACAAGAGTCCATATTTAATTAGTTTCTTTTAATCACTAAATTAATTCTAAATTAATTCTTGATCAATACTAATTAAATAATATGATTTCATATTAATATATTATAACTTATAATATATTAATAAATCATAAATATACTATTCTCACAAGATTATCCATACAAATTGTTTCAGTGAAGTGCAACCCAAATGGACCATGTCGGGTCGGGTCAAGTACATACCAAATATAGTTACGAAGTTAGACACCTTATCCAACAAAACCTACCATTGACTATAGTCAGTGTCGACGGGAAGGAACAAGTAACCAAGATAATCGACTTCTCGGTAGTCAAGTAAAGGTCAGATAACGATATAATCCTCTGCTGCCCAATTCTTTTTCAATTATAGGCTATCCCATCGACAATACATGGCACGGTCAAGTTCAAAACAACCAAAGGTTCAACAACGATCACAACCATTAACACACGAGCAAAGCCAATATGGGAAATCGCCACATGGGTCACCACGAACATCCCAAAAAGAAGTCGGACCATGATACTCCCATTCAAAATGGTCGAAGACGAGAAGAAAGACACCCACACCCCCCGATAAGAAGAACAAGCGCAAGCCCCGGGCATGTAGCTCGGGGGAGGGTGTGGTAGAAATAACATTACCGCACCAGATACATCGCGTACTGTTAGCACGAACACCAAGAAGGGCTGGATACCACTAAGCATGTCCACACGCCTTCGCGAAGTGAAGACACAAAGTACGAAGAAGAAGCCTGACAGAAAACAAAGCCAAAGGGATTGCAAAAGACGGGGAGGGAAAGACAAGGAACTACCCTGCAAAAGAAGGTACATACAGGAGGCTGACATCAACGGAAAGAGCCAGCAATTGGCAGAAGCTTCCCCCCAGACGACACCTGGTCCAAAACCCGCGAAAACAGAATCAATAACAACAACACAACACCAGATGACAAGAAACCTCCCAAAGATACTAACCAAACAACCGACACTAGAGAATGGAAGAGATTGAAAATTGTCTTCCGAAGGACGATTGTCCCAGAAACAGCCAGTCACGTAAACGTAAACATCAGAGAAATTGTAAGCACAAGAAATGCACAGAGCAGGAAGGACCAAGGAGAAGAAGAACTCATCCCCATGACCTGGCATCCCCAGGGCCCAAGCCAATGGTCCTAGATTGGAGGGAATCAGGAGAAGAGGCTATGTGATCAAACTACCGCCGGATAATCACACCCAAACTAGCCAGTACAAGACCTAGAAGTAGAATAACATCATCTATGGAACCCTTAATACCTACCTAAACGATGTAGGTGTCTCAAATACATCAAACAAAATATATATGAAATGAAAATTTAGAACGGACAAGTATCAATATACTTTCGTACAAACGGAAAACAAAAACGGGATGATCACCCGTGTCGTATAACAATAAAATCATGGAGGAAAACACAATCGTAAGCCTCAAGGGATCACAATTTCCCCCTAACAAACATGTCAAGAAAGTCACTAGAGTCGCAACTCCTGATCACGACAAACAAGAGGCTTTAAAGGAACATCGTACAAACTTGGATACATTCCTAGGACTAGATAATAATCAGCTACTGACAACTGATTGTCTAACAGATACAAAAGGTAAAGTCCTATGAAACGTTACATCATGAATAAGACAAGAAATAATAAATTTTTAAACAAACAGATTGATCTCGGATCTACTCTCTGTCTCGGAATAGTATTCACTTCGGACTCCATCTCTACTTCGGAAACAACTGACTTCGGATCTTCAATACTGTGATTGCTAGAGGTTCACTTTTCAGGTTCCAACAATCTCCCCCTAAGTGAACTTAGCAATCTAGTCAGCTTAGTTGGCTTCCTATTGGATGAACACATTATCTCTATACAACCAATCTCGGACTTTAAGATACCATTGAAGTTGACTTATAAACTTGGACTTTACATGCTCAGGGGCATCTGACTTAGCTGCATTTTTGACGAACTTTTGAAGAGCTTTGGAGGGGACAAGATACTTGTCAAGGACTCGGAAGAAGTCATTCTTGTTTGTCTTCTTTTGTAAGTAAATGTACCCCAACACAGGTTCATCAATTGACCCTTCTGCCAATATTTCAGCTTCAGGCAGCTTGAAGTCAATTTTTGCCAAGAAATTTTTAGTTCCGAACAAGTGAGCCAATTCAAAGTCGCATCTGCAAAACTCAACGACATAATCCTTCAAGTAATTCATAGCAGCACTGTAAGCTGCAATGCTCTTCTGATCGTTTTGAATCATTTAGAAATGAGTTGTAATGGTCAAGATGTCGTTCGGATTGATCGAGGGGAAGTCAGCATCCGTGATTGAGAGCTGTGTTGTCTTGTTCCAATATACATAGAAGCGATGCAAAAGACAATCCAAATAAAAGTTTGTCAATACCTTCCTTCCGAACGCAAAAATCTTGGTTATTCTCTTCCAAGACCACACTTCTTTTTGGGGACATGCGTTCAAGGAGTAAAAAGTATTCAAACGTTCTCTTTCGGTTCTGATGATCATCTGAGGATCATCTTCTAGGTGGAGAGGAGCAAATTTGATGTAGAACTTGCCGTATGGAGAGATGGGAAGATCGAGTTGGTCCGAGTCCTGAGTTGGTAGATCATAATACATGAATGACACTATGTCCAAGTGATGGATTATTTCTTCTCTGCAGAGTAGGGAAAGCCTTAGGATCGGATTGGGGTTGTCTTTGAGAGCATGAATCCGAATGCTTTCTTCTAGGGCTTAATCTATTTGAGCCTGGGACCAACCTTCAGACTTTTTGGTGATTGGTTCAGAGCTTTGAAATTCCAAGATAGGCTACTTGCCTTTGTCTTGTTGCTTGTTGAGAATCGAAATGACATGTTGCATGTTTTCATCGATGGTAAACTCTGGAGGAGGAGGAATCAGGGGCTCTTCAGGAATGTTGTCAGGTTTTCGAAGTGGAGAACCTTCATCGATAGGAGCTATTCTTGGCGAGGGAACTAGAGGCAACATTGACTGGGTGGCTCGGAAAGTGTCAATTGTCAGCTTGGTCTTTGCCTTAGCCATTTCACGGCTTTTTTGTAGTACACCAGCTAGGGATGATGGCCATGAGACAGCATACCATATCCTCTACTCTTCTTCGGAAAGAACTTTGGCAGGAAACTTCATTGGAGCTTGAATTCCTATCACAACATTGGTGATGTACTTGTCATCTTCATCATCGTCATCATCATCATCATCGGATGGAGTACCTGTAGGAAGGATTTGAAAAAAATCATCATCAGACTCATATCGGAGTTTGAACTCCGAGGAGGGCTTCCAAGAAATAGAGTGATCTCTTCTACTTGTGCCTTTCCCCCCTCTTGCATTCGATATCCTGGCAACCGAGGAAAGCAAAGCTGAATGTTCAAACTCCGAGAGACGATCAAACACATTCTGAAAGCTGGTGTTCATCTGCAATGTAAGGGCGTCATATGCTTCAGCAGTTGGAGCCTGAGCTTTTAGGTGGTCAAATAAAGTAGCAAGGATGGACAACATTTCATCAAACTTATTGTTCGGAACATCCATAATATTCCAGCAGGCTCGGAGGAGTTTGATGAGTACTTTTTGCGTGATAAGGTTCATCTTGTCTTTCTTCTTAATCTCCTTCTCCATTCTCTGAATCTGCTTTTCACGGCGAACATGCATTATTTTGACCAGTTCATTGGTGGCACTGATCATATCATCGTGAACTTTCAGCATGGTGGTGATGGTGTCGAGATAGTGATCAAGACTTGAATTATATTTTTCTTCAACCTCCTCGATGGTGTGCTTGAGACGGAGGGAGATGAGTTGATCCAGCTGTTGAGCCCTTTCTTCATCCGAGGTCCCTAGTTTCTTGACTTCCGATAGTAAAAGGAGAATTGCATCAAGTTTAGTGTCAAGACCAGACACTTTAGCGTCAAGCTTGGAGTCAAGTTGGGAAACCGACTTGTCCAATGATTCAAACCTCGAATGAGGTGCATGAGGACTGTCCATAGCCTAGGAACTACAGATTTCTTGAATTTTTGTCCTTGAACTCTTCAACATACCCTATGTGGTTGAGAAACGTCTGAAACTCTTCAGACAGCGGTTCTTGGACTATGAAACCCTTAGGGTTTTCAGGAATCCTAATGGCCCTTAAGAAGGTTTGCTTTGAAACTGGTACAATATGGTCACCAGTGATCCTGACTTCAAGAACTCCGTCTTCGATCTTGATTATGTCGAAGGCTGTGTGAAGGAGTCAAAGTGGAATAGGTGGATCAAGGATCTTTGTAAGAGGAACTGAGATGGGATGGCGGGATATGAACTCGATCATAACCCAGATGGACTCGTCGTAGTCAATTGGGTCCAAGGAGAACAATTAAGTTGTGTCTCTGAGGAACGGTTTAGTTGACGATGATGAAGCAGAACCCTTGGAGGATTTCTTCTTGGGAGTAGTTTTGGTGATTTTGAGGGCAGATTGTGAAGATTCCATTGTTGCAGGTTTTGAATGCTCTAAGAACACTTTTGTTGCAGAGAGAAAGAGATGAAGGGTTTGAGAGCGTAAAGTGTCAAATGGGTTTTGATGGGGCTTTTATAGGTTGGATGATGGTGGGTCGGGTTAAGAAATAGGTGTAATGATGAAACTTGATATGGATATGGAGCACATTAAATATGTTGCCACATTTGGAATGAGTTGACCTGAAAGGATGAAAGAATAATATGGAAAGACGTGCAAAATGGAAACCGTCATTTGATTGACATGATGTTTACTTTATTGAGATGTGTGAAAAAAGAGTGTGAATTTCAAGGATTAAGGATAATCATCATTAAAAAATAACCGTTTGAGTTATTCAGAATAACGTTTTAGTATAAACAATGAAAAACCTTTTGAACTTCTTTCAAAGAAAGTGATATCGGAGCAAGGAAGTTCCGAGATGATTTGACCAAGAGATCTCGAAGCATGAAAATTCCGAGATGGATTGTTATCGAGATCTCGAAGCATGAAAGTTCCAAGATGGATTGTCATAAGATACTTCAAAGAATGACAATACTTGTACATGATATAGAGTTCGAGATTGCACAGTCTCAGACTGAATATCAGAGGTAAAAGGAGAGAAGATCTTAGAGGACATATTTAAATAGATTTTGAGATTCCGAGATATGAAGGAACATATCTCGGATAAAGGTAAGAGGTGAACACACATTACCATTTCAGACTTGAATTGCGAGATGAGTTTTAAGGCACACTTTTGATGTAGGTTCCGAGGTGAGATCAAACAAAATACCAATGTGACTATAATGGTCATGAACTTCAAAAGATCGAGTGAGCTGTACAACTTAAACTAGAAGAAGAGGTTAGATAAAAAGACACGTAAAACGATCCTATTTATTCCAAGAGGAATGATTCCAATATGAAAAATAATTTTGACTTTGGCATTGTTTCACTTCCTGATGGTAACATCAGAGAGTGCAAGCCTCTTGAAAGAATTAAGGATCAGGCAACATCATACCATTTTGTTCAAAAAACCATTGAATTTGGTTTTGTTTAATGCCTTAGTAAAGACATCAGCAATTTCACCGTCAGATGGAACAAAAATAAGTTCAATGTTTCCTTTTGAAACATGATATTTAATGAAATGGTACCGTATATCAATGTGCTTCGTCATGGAGTGTGGAATTAGATTGTGTGAAATCGCAATGGCACTTTGAGAATCACAATATATGGGAATTTGTTGGAACCGGTAACCATAATCCAAGAGCTGTGATTTGATCCAAAGAACTTGAGAGGTGCAACTAGTAGCAACAATGTATTCTGCTTCGGCTGTTGATAGTGCAATGCAGTTTTGTTTCTTAGATGACCAACTTACCAATCTTCCACCTAAAAATTGACAGCCACCAGAGGTGCTTTTTCTATCCAATTGAAGACCACCATAGTTCGAATCTGAATATGCTTGTAGGAGGAAACTCTCATTTGTTAGGTACCAGATTCTGAGACTCTTTGTACCTTTGAGGTATTAGAATATTTGCTTGACCATCAAAAGATGAGACATCTTTGGATTGACCTGAAATCTGGCACATAAACATGTAGAAACATGATGTCTGGACAACTTGCTGTTAGGTAGAGTAACAATCCAATCATTCC